TCAGAACCAAGACCGGGTTTCTCCACCGCATTCTCTCTGGCTCAGCACCAGGGGAAGCTGTCCTCAGTCCCGGAACTTAAGCCCCTGTCCCTAGCCACCCCGATTCCCACAATTTCCCCCTCGATCCTTTGATCTTTTGGAGGGCTTTCAACCAGACTCCAAGTTAATGCTGGTCCCCAGATGCAGGGCACTCTCGTATTAGGGGTATTACTTTCCATTTGGTCACCTCTGGTGGCTCCCTCCCCCTTTTTTGTATCTTCCGGTATCAGTCTGACGTTCCCACTCCACTTTACCTGCCCACTGGTGTCTTCTGCCCCTGTAGAGATCCAGACGTGTATAATTCTGATCTCAGGCTGATTTCATGGGTGATTAGAGTTCTTTGGTAGGTAATCAGCTCAATTTAGGGTACAGGTTGAAAAGGCGACTCCTCCTATTTCCCCGCCATCTTGTCTCCCGCCACCCAAACAACTTCTTAAAAAAATATAAAAACCTGCTAAGCCCATTCTTTGGGCAGGTGCTTATCATTAAAACCAATGATTCTTTTTTTAAGTTCTGTATTACATTAATTGCTTCAAACACATTGTACATTGGTAGTTTTTACTTAAAAAAGAAAGAAAGAACTTTAAGAATGGAAATCTCACCTCCAACAAGAATCTCTGCATTCCCACAGTACTTTTCCTGTCTCATGTTAATCAGTCACATCTTATCTTGTGTTCCAATGAGGTGTCCAGATCTCCTCTCCATTAAACACTGGAGCAGCTCCAGTGAAGACCTGTTTATCAAGCAAAACTCCACTTTGCAGGGACACACTGTGTATAATCTCTGGATAGAACAAAACAGCAGTCAAGTTGGCAACAGCAGAGGGTTCTTCCCAGAAATTGTGGGAATTCTGACAATCTACATATGTGCATGAGCTAGGAGCTTTGCAAAATGGATAAGCTAGAGTGACAGATGTATTTCTCAGGAAAAATCAGTAAATTCCTATCAGAGGATGTGTTCATTGCTCAGGAAAATTTCAGAATGACCTCTGAGTGTGCCAGGACAATCTCCCTCTAGGATATGGCCTAAAAGGAGAAGACTTTGACATTCTCTGGTAGATAAAAGGGCATATTTTGAGCTTCAGAACGAAGGGGAGGCTGCACCATAAATGAAGGTAATCTACGTGGTCCTGAGAGAGAGAGAACCCAATTCTAGGCAGACCATGATGAGAAGACATAGATGGTCACTAAGAAGCAGAGGGTCTCTGGGAAGCAGGAGGCAGTGGATACTCATGTCTCAATTCTAAGCTATTTGCACTGAAGTAATGTAAACCCTCTGCAATGTCACACATGACCATCTCATCATGGTTGTATCTGGAGGGGGTAGTTTGGAATGGAGAGAATAGGGTAGAAGTATCCTCCCCATCTGTACTTCTCAAGGACACTATTTCCAGAAACCTCAACCTAAGGGCTGCATTTATCCTCCTACCTGAATGCAGCCAAATAAAAAGTGGGCAAATTATGTTGCAAAAATTAAACCAGATGGAAATACATGAATGATAGTGATGCATCAGAGAACTGTTAATACAAGGTGCAGGGTGGGGACGAGAAATCTAGAGAGGATAGACAAACAGAAAGGACCAAAACATGGACAGAAGGAGAAACAGCAAACCCAGAGTTAATGAGACACAGTGAACAAACCCTCCAGGAATCCACAAGAGATACGAGGACTGGGGTGGAACTGACCTTCTCACAGGATGAAGGATGGAGACCTCATCTCTGGGGCTGATAGCTGAGTGCTCTCCTTAACCACTTCTTTCTCTCACTCATGGCCAATTAGTCAGCAAGTCTTGCCAGTGACAAGTTCAAGACACACTCAGAATCCAACCATTTCTCACCCCTTCGCTGCTGCCACCCTGGACTGAGCTCCTATCAGTTTTCACTTGGAGACCAGCAAGAATCTCCTCACCTTGCAGATTCCAAGCTCCCATGTCCCTGTCTCACTCCTAATTACTCTCCACACCAGAGTCAGTCAGAGAATCCTTTACCATATGGAGAAAGTGAGGATTATTGCCTGTTTATGGTCTGTCTTTCCTCCTCAAAGGTAAGCCCCATGAAGGCAAGTTCTTCTATTTCTGTTCATTGCTGTATTCACAGAGACCAGGCAGGGCTACAGTTTGTGCAGTTAGAACCAAATAAATATTAGTTAATGAACTACACAAACAGTTATAAAACTGTACACTAGAATTCTGGGTAAAGAATAAAGGATCTGCATTTTGTATTCATTTGTGGGTCTTCAGAATGCTCGGATCTGGAAATCATGTCATTTTTTTTTTCATCATCACTGAGACTACAATGGCCTCTCCATAACGTTCACTGCATGAACAAGTGAAAAGAATGTCCGATAGGTTGACTACCTTCCATGGTGCCTAGAACTGGCCTGGGCAGAATATGGATGCTGTTCTGTCCCCACGCACAAGAGCAGGTACGTGTAAAGAGTAGAGTTCATAAGTAATGACCAGTCTGCAGGAAAACCACTACTCAACATGGGCTGAATGAATTCTGCACCAGCGACACACAGTCCAGAGGTGATGAAGATAACTTGTCTTCGAGGACTAAGAAAATTGTAGGCATCTCTGCTTCTACCTGCTTGTGAACAAGTACCAAGGTGGTATACGTGCTCTGAGGGAGATGCTCACAGGGAACACTGGGAGCCACGAAGAAGTAAGTGATCATCATACCTGAGGAGTCCACGTAGTCAAGGAAGGACTTATGAGAAAGATTTTAGCTGAGCCGAACCATGTCTCAGGACGATGTCTAGCAGATGAGAAAAAGCACATTGAGGAAAGAAGGCACAGACTGTGTGAAGGCCCAGCACACATGGTTGCCTTCCCGAGTGGATCCTGGGAGGAAGTTAACACAATGGGGAAGTACAGGAAATGCTTATAGCACATGTTCCTCTAAGGACAGAACCTGTGCTTTCCAACGCTCATGGACACTCCTCCTCTCAAACTACTCATTTTCCCCTAAAACGGTGACCAATAAAGGGGCTTAACAGAGTTGAAAACATTGGGAGACAAAATCAGAGAAGGGAATCAACTATCTGGTTCCCACTCCAATTTATGGGAGGACTGATGCATGTGTGTAGAGCACGGTGTTCCCTGTGACTGTCACCACCTACAAGGAAGAATGTGGCTTCACACCAGCTCTGTCCCAAAGCATGACATGGCTGCCCGGGGGTTCCATGTGGGACAACACAGTCTTCTTCCTCGTTGTGCAGTTCTGAGGCATTCCCATTGGAGTTCCACTCCTTTGTTCTAAATGCTCCTTGTACAAAGAAACGGACAGAATCTGAAACAGAGATTATGTTTTCAGGAAAGCATAATGGTTCTTATTTTCCGATTAAAATAGAAAACCAGAAGGGTGGCAGAGTGGCAATAAATTTTCACTGTTTTGACAGAGGCTACATTCTAGTCACAGTTAATTCCCACATCAAGGTCCATAATGGCTCAAAGGAAGTAAGTTCTTGGAGTCAGTAAGAGACACACATGTGTCAAGCCTCCTAATGAGCCTCAGTAATGCAGGAAAACTATTCTCAACAAAAGGAGATTCCACACGGTCAGGTACACTCTGTGGGGGTGTGGGCAGGTGTGGCTCCAGAAATGGGTCCTCTTCGTGCACTGGTGACAAGGAAAGAAAGATCCTGGTTTGAGGCAAAGAGCAGCTGCTGTTCCCAGGTGGTGACTGCAGCTCACAGCTGAGGTTAGCAGTGGAACTGAGTGGAGAATGTGGGAATTATGGGCATAGTCAGAGGCTGACCACTTGACATGACATCCACACCCTGGTGCCTGAGTGTCGGATTTGTTTGTGCACCGGTTTCTTCTGCAGCAGAACAGCTCCTCCCATGTTGTTCTTCCTCCTGGTGCCTCGCATCTTCCATGGACAGGTCTTTCTGAGCTTCTAACTCAACCTTCTCTGGTCCACCTCTTTCTGTCTATAGTTCTCTTCTCCACAGCCAGCAGAATCGGTTCCTGAACGACAAGGGAATTTTTCTCTTTTTGGAGCAAAGAACTGCTGGGTCAAGGGACTGTGTGGATGAGGCTTGAAGCAAGTGACTTCTTTCTGCTCTTTCAGATCTTCTTCCAGCTGCTGCTTCCTACTGCTGCCTTCAGAGCTCTCAGTCATTAAAACCAGTGATTCCTGATACAGACAGAAGCATGACTGTATCCACAAGGACTGATCCTGGGGCACAGAAACCCCACAAAGAAAATACATAGAGTACAATGACCCATTTATGAATTCTACAAAATTAAAGCTAGTATAAGCTGACATGAGAAAGAACAATAGCTATGTGGGGACAGGGTGAACAAGGGAAAGGGAAGGAGGAATTCCAGAGGGAAATGCTGGAAATTTTAGGGAGAATTGAAGCACTCACTGTCAGTAATGTTGATTGTGACACCTGCGTTTATATATCACACACTCCGTATATGGCCTGTTCATCTTGTGTCACATATACACATCGAACTTATTATAGGTAATAATAAAGGTGATTCAAAAGGGACATAGAGAGAGTGAATGTTAAAGACATGAAAATACGCCTACACGATGCTGATTTTCTCTGTATTTATGGTAAAGTATAAAATCAGCAAAATCAATCCATCCCCATTACAGGAGGGCTTCCACATGCCTCATAGCCTGACACTCTGTCCCGCAGATGATTTGGGGTGGGGGGCAGCAATTCCTGTGGGGAGAGTACTGACCTAGATCCTGGGGTCAATCTCACCCCATATGTTTTCATGGACACCTTACAAACAAAAGTATACACCCTGGAAAGTTATATAATAAAAAATATTTATTTTCAAAATTGGTCTTTAGCACTAAATTAAAGGTATTCACAACTGCTTGGGTCACTGCCTCTCTGTCAGAATAGATCCCCAAGCTGAATATATAGCCAGAGGACATGCAAATAGGGCCCTCCATCTGCTGATTAAAACAGCCCAAACCTGACACTGCAGTTGGGAGAGGAGCCCCAGCACCAGGATTCCCAGGTGTTCCAGTCAGTACTCAGGACAGGATACAGACAACTCACCATGGAGTTTGTGCTTGGCTGGGTTTTCCTTGTTGCTCTTTTAAAAGGTAATTCAGGGTGAACAAGAGTCGTTGAGGATGTGAGTGGATATGAGTGAGAGAAATTATAGATGTGTGACAGATTCCTGACCAGGATGTCTTGCCTGCAGGTGTCCAGTGTGAGGTGCAGCTGGTGGAATCTGGGGGAGACTTGAGACTCTCCCATGCAGCCTTTGTATTTACCTTCAGTAGCTACTACATGAGCTGGGTCCTCCAGGCTCCAGGGAAGGGGCTGCAGTGGGTCGCATATATTAGCTATGATGGAGGTAGCACATACTATGCAGACTCTGTGAAGGGCCGACTCACCATCTCCAGAGACAACGGCAAGAACACGCTGTATCTGCAGATGAACAGCCTGAGAACTGAGGACACAGCCCTGTATTATTGTGAAACAGACACAGTAAGGAGCCCTCAGTGTGAGCCCAGACACAAACCTCACTGTAGGACTGGATCTGGACCACCAGGGTGTGCACACCACTCACCAATCCTGTCTTTAAGCCCAGGAGCAGATGCAGATGAAAGTTATGGGCAGGTTTCCTGTCAGGATCTAACACTTCCTATCCAGAGAACACTTTCCCTCAGGGACCTTCTCTGCACATATGCTTCTGTGCTTAACTCTTCACTCTCTGACTTTGAAAATTTGTTCTAATGGGAATACAATTATACCAAAATGCACAAAAAACAGAATCACTCACATTGTTTATTCGTGTCTGTAAATACCAATGAAGCACAAATATCCTGATGCTCTTCAACTGAGCCTTTTAGGACTCCCAGCTGCTCTCACTTTGCATCACATGTCCACCCTCCTCAAAGTGCAAACTCCCTAGAAGCAGCATAAAGTGCATGCTGGACATGAGGCCACCAGAGGCATCAACAATTAAAAGCAAAAGAAGAAAGGTTCTTGGTTGGGGAGTCACTGTCTTAAACAATGCTCACAGCATCAATGTTAGTGACAACATGGGAAAGCAGTGGAACCCTCTCCAGGTGTGATGTGTAGTCTGGATATTATGCACACACATGCATAAACACACACACACACACACACACACACACGAATATGAATCCTTTTTCACTTTGCACTAATTTCTCTGCAGCAAAAGTGGTCCTAAGACAAAACTACACAGCATACAGGAAGACCTCAAGAAGCAAGAAAAATCTGAAAGAAACACTCTAACGTTACACATGAAGGAGCTACAGAAGGTATGATGACTAAAGCCTAAATACAGGAGAAGGAAGGAAATAGTAAAGATTAGAGCAGTAATAAATGATATAAAAACAAAAGAAAAAAACAAACAGAACAGTACAAAAAAGCAAGGTATAGATTTTTGGAAAAAAAAAACAATAAAATTGAGAAACCTCTGCCTAGATTTATCAAAAGTAAAAGAGGAAACCCAAAATAAATGATATCAGAAATCAGTATGTTTCTTTGTGGAATAAATAGGGTTTTGGAGGGGTAGGAGGGGCCAGATGGGGGAACTCGGTGATGGGCAATAAGGACACATGGTGACTGAGCACTGGGTGTTACACACAAATAATGAATTGTTGAACGACATCAAAAACTAATGATGTACTATATGGTGGCTAACTGAACATAATTTTAAAATGAAATTTAAGGAGATAATGTGAGAAAATAAATACTTAAAGCTGGAATTCTAGGAGGAACATTTCCCAATCCAAATCCTGAAATAATACTCAAAATTTTGTGTTCAAACTAGAGGTGGCTGGGGTGGGGGGATGGGATAACTGCCTCATGGGCATTAAGGAGGGAACTTGATGGAATGAGCACTTGGTGTTATATGCACCTGATGAATCACTAAATTCTACCACTGAAACCACTATTGCACAATGTGTTAACTAAATTGAATTTAAATAAAAATTTTAAAACAAAATAAAAGGAAAGAAATAAATCCTATCTAGTCTTTCATTCAGAGACTTTGTTTCAGGAGTAGAGGAGCAAGATGGCAGCAGAGTAGGGACCTCATTTCAGCTGGTCCCTTCAATTTAACTGGATGTCCATCAAACCATTCTGAACACACACGAATTCAACATCAGATGTAAGAACAATTATCCGGATTTCTACAAGCAGCAAAATGACTAGTTTTTGTGAGGTGGGAAGTGGAGAAACGTAACTCTTTGGGGGAAATATCGGAAGATAAATGGAGATTGGAGGGAGTCTCCAAAAGCCAGCCACTGGAAAGTGATATTCAAATCAGAGCAAAAAAATCAGGACCTTCGAAATCTGCTCCAGCGAGAGACATTCCTTACTGAAATAGAGCACAGGGGATGAATAAGAGAGAATTCTGGGTGGATCACTGGGATCTCAGACCACAGGAAATCAGAAGTAATGGGGAAGCCTGAACCGATAGACTGCCCAAGCAGTGGCACAGGGAGACAGGTTATGGTCAGCAAGCTCAGAAGGGACAGTCAGGCCAGTTGGAAGACTGCTCTGTGCCTGACCACCCTGAAAAGGACTAAAGGTGTGGGCTGCTTAATATCCCATGGGAGATATAAAATGATTTGTGACCAAAACAGGGCAACAGCTCTCAGGGCTGTGTGGCCCATGAAAGGACACTGGAGAGGCACCTGGCCGTGAACTGCAAGCCATGCAAGAGGGTGCATGTGTGAGCCCATGGCTTGGTGCACAAAGTGGCTACATCCACAACTGGGCAACAACTCTCAGAATGATATGAAACCTGAGAGGACACTGGGTCAGCACCCAGCTTGACCTAGGAGGTGCGTAAGAGAGTGCACACGAGACCACAGCCGCTAACAATTGCAAAGTCAGAAAGCACGGAGACACTCATGGGTCCCTGGAACTTTCCCCCAGAGAGTTGCAGTGGGCATCAATTATGCAAGTCTGTGGATTTTGGTACACATAGAAGTGGAGATGGATTGACCTGAGGTGGTGGTGGGGGTCTGAGCCACCACATTGTGGCTCTGGGCTGGATTCCCGCAGGGCCATGTTTGCTCTGACCCTCTGAGGAGAAGCAGAAAGCCATCAGGGAAAAAGAACCAGACACAGGGTCGGCTCCCATTCAGCCAATGACCCTGACAAGGGTGGGCAACCCCACCAGGACAGAGATGCCTGAGAAGCCAAGCAGCAAGCCCCTCCTCCAGAAGACAGACTGGGAGAACAGGTGAAGGATAAGGTTACTTCCCACAGAAACGTGAAACTCCAGCACCAGGGGAAAATTACATAGGGAGCTCCACGTGTTCCCTCACGACTTGCTTATACTCGGGATAAAAGTTTACCTTTCTCTTTTCTTTCTTTTCTTTTCCTTGCTTTTTCTTGTTATACCATGTTCCCATTTCAAAGAGAGTCTTATTTCCTAACTTCAGTTTCTAAATTTAAAATCTTCATTTTATAGATTTTTGCCCCACATAACCCAATTTTTCTCTCTATTCAATTTATGTATAAAATAAGTTCTGATTTCCTTAACGTTTTCACATAAAGTGTCTTCTAACCTATACCAAAAATCAATCAGATACAGGGAGATCGAGGCAAGATGGCAGAGGTGTGGGGACCCAGTTAAAGCAAGTCCCTTGAATTTAGCTGCGTATCTATAAACTATTTTGAACACCCATGAAATCAACCTGAGATGTAAGAATATAGATGTGTATTTCTACAAGCGGAAAAGTGGCTGTGTTCAGCAAGATGTCTATTATATCAGCTCTTTTTTTCATAGGCCATTTTGACTTGTTTTTTACAAACCTATATTTTTTAACACGTACATGCTTTATCTTAGCAAGTTGTTCACTCTATTCAGTTTTACCTTCTTATATATCCATCCTTTAATTTTCTAGTGATTTTGAGATTTAGTGTCCTCTAACATATGGGTCAAAATTCACCCAGGAACAATGAAGCACTCTATTTTGTCCAAAACGAAAGTTACAGCCACTCTTTACTTGCCCCTTTTTTTATTTTCTACTCTCTCTATATTTTATATATAATTTTTGAATTTTTTTCAATGTTTTTAATTTTATTTTTTTTCAGTGTTCCAAGATTCATTGTTTATGCACCACACCCAGTGCTCCATGCAATACCTGCCCTCCATAATACCCACCAGCAGACTCACCTAACCCGCCACCCCCCTCCCCCTCAGTTTGTTTCTCAGAGTCCACAGTCTTTCATGGTTTGTCTCTCCCTCCAATTTCCCCCAACACTCTTCTCCCCTATATCTCCCCATGTCCTCCATGTTATTCCTTATGCTGCACAAATAAGCAAAACCATAAGATAATTGACTCTTTGCCCTGATTTATTTCACTCAGCATAATCTCCTCCAGTCCCATACATGTTGATGCAAAAGTTGGGTTTTCATCCTTTCTGATGGAGTCATAATACTCCATAGTGTATATGGACTACATTTTCTTTATCCATTCATCCATTGAAGAACATCTTGGTTCTTTCCACAGTTTCGCAACCATGGCCATTGCTGCTATGAACATTGGGGTACAGATGGCCCTTCTTTTCACGACATCTGTATCTTTGGGGTAAATACCCAGTAGTGCAATTGCAGGGTCCTAGGGAAGCTCTATTTTTAATTTCTTGAGGAATCTCCACACTGTTGTCCAATGTGGCTGCACCAATTTGCATTCCCACCAACAGTGTAAGAGGGTTCCCCGTTCTCCACATCTTCTCCAACACACGTTGTTTCCTGTCTTGCTAATTTTGGCCATTCTAACTGGTGTAAGGTGGTATCTCAATGTGGTTTTAATTTGAATCTCCCTGATGGCTAGTGATGATGAACATTTTTTTCATGTGTCTTTTGCAGTTTGTATGTCTTCATTGGAGAAGTGTCTGTTCATGTCCTCTACCCATTTTTTGACATGATTATCTGCTTTGTGTGTATTGAGTTTGAGGAGTTGTCTATAGTTCTTGGATATCAGCCCTTTTTCTGTACTATCATTTGTGAATATCTTCTCCCATTCCATGGGTTGCCTCTTTGTCTTGTTGACTGTTTCCTTTCCTGGGCAGAAGCTTTTGATCCTGATGAAGTCTCAAAAGTTCATTTTTGCTTTTGTTTCCTTTGCCTTTGTATACATGTCATGAGAGATGTGGCTGTGGCCATTGTCGAAGAGGTTACTGCCTATGTTCTCCTCTAGGATTCTGATGGATTCCTGTCTCATGTTGAGGTCTTTTATCCATTCTGAGTTTATCATTGTGTACGGTGTAAGAGAATGGTCGAGTTTCATTCTTCTACATATAGCTGTCCCATTTTCCCAGCACCATTTATTGAGGAGACTTTTTTTCACTGTATATTTTTTCCTGTTTTGTCGAAGATTAACTGACCATAGAGTTGAGGGTCCATATCTGGGCATTCTACTCTGTTCCACTGGTCTATGTGTATTTTTTATGCCAGTATCATGCTGTCTTCATGATCACAGCTTTGTAGTAGAGCTTGAAATCAGGTAATGTGATGCCCCCAGTTTTGTTTTTCTTTTTCAACATTTCCTTAGCGATTCGGTGTCTCTTCTGATTCCATACATATTTTACATTTGTTTGCTTCAGCTCTTTGAAAAACGCTGCTGGAATTTTGATCAGAATGGCATTGAAAGTATAGATTGCTCTAGGCAATATAGATATTTTAACAATGTTTATTCTTCTGATCCATGAGCATGGAATGGTCTTCCAACTTTTTGTATCTTCCTCAATTTCTTTCTTGAGTGTTCTGTAGTTCCTCCATTATAGATCCTTTACCTCTTTGGTTAGGTTTATTCCCAGGTATCTTATGATTCTTCGTGCTATAGTAAATGGAGTCCATTCTCTAATTGCCCTTTCTGTATTTTTATTGCTAGTGTATAAGAAAGCAATTGATTTCTGTACATTTATTTTGTATCTTGCCACATTACTCAATTGTTGTATGAGTTCTAGTAGTTTGGGGGTGGAGACTTTAGGGTTTTCCATATAAAGTATTATGTCGTCGGCAAATAGAGTTTGACTTCTTCATTGCCAATTTGGGTACCTTTTATGTCCCTTTGTTGCCTGATTGCTGTTGCTAGGACTTCTAATACTATGCTGAACAAGAGTGGTGAGAGTGGGCATCCTTGTGTTCCTGATCTCAAAGGGAAGGCTCTTAGCTTTTCCCCATTGATGATAATATTTTCTGCGGGTTTTTCATAGACAGATTAGATAAATTGAGGAATGTTCCCTCTATCCCTATACTTTGAAGTGTTTTAATCAGGAACAGATGCTGTATCTTCTCAAATGCTTTTTCTGCTTCAATTGAGAGGACCATATGGTTCTTCTCTCTTCTCTTATTGATTTGTTCTATCACATTAATTGATTTGCGAATGTTGAACCTCCCCTGCATCCCATGGATAAATTGCACCTGGTCATGGTGGATAATCTTTTTAATGTACTGTTGGATCCTATTATCTAGGATCTTGTTGAGAATCTTAGCATCCGTATTCATCAGGGATATTGGTCTGAAATTCTTTTTGGTGCGGTCTTTGTCTGTTTGGGGAATCAAGGTAATGCTGGCTTCATAAAAATAGTCTGGAAGTTTTCCATCTGCTTCAGTTTTTTGAAACACCTTCAGGAGAATAGGTTTTATTCCTTCTACAAAAGTTTGGTAGAATTACCCAGGGCATCCGCAGGTCCTGGGCTCTGGTTTTGGGGAGATTTTTGATCACTGCTTCAATCTCGTTACTAGATATCAGTCTATTCAGGTTGTCAATTTCTTCCTGATTCAGTTTTGGAAGTTTATAGTTTTCCAGGAATGCATCCATTTCATCAAGGTTGCTTAACTATGCATATAGCTGTTGATAATAATTTCTGGTGATTGTTTCTATTTCCCTGATGTTAGTTCTGATCTCTCCCTTTTCATTCATAATTTTATTAATTTGGGTCTCCTTTCTTTTCTTTTAGATTAATGTGTCCGATGGTTCATCGATCTTATTGATTCTTTCAAAAAACCAGCTTCTAGTATCAATGATGCGTTCTACTGTATGCCTAGTTTCTATCTCATTGATCTCTGCTCTAATCTTGATTATTCCCCTTCTTGTGTGTGTAGTTGGCTTATTTGTTTTTAATTCTCCAGTTCTTTAAGGTGTAAAGACAGCTGGTGTATTCTGGATTTTTCTTTTCTTTTCTTTTCTTTTTTTTTTTTTTTTTTTTTTTGAGGGAGGATTGAATGCTTCTGTACTTCCCCCTTAGGACCGACTTGGCTGTATCCCATAGGTTTTGGACTGAAGTGTCTTCATACTCACTGGTTTCCATGAATTGCTTAAGTTCTTCTTTGACTCTCTGGTTGATGCAAGCACTCTTAAGCAAGGTGGTCTTAGCTTCCAGGTATTTGAGTTCCTTCCAAATTTTTCTTGTGGTTGAGCTCAAGTTTCAAAGCACTGTGGTCTGAGAATATACATGGAATAATATCAATGTTTTGGCATTTTTTGAGTCCAGATATGTTGGTCTATTTTGCAGAAGGTTCCATGTGCGCTCGAGAAGAATGGGTATTCTGTTGTTTGAGGATGGAATATTCTCTATATATTGATGAGGTCCATCTGGTCCAATGTGTCATTCAATGCTCTTGTTTCCTTACTGATTTTCTGCTTGGATGATCAGTCTGTTACTGAGAGTGGTGTGTTAAGATCCCCTACGATTAATGTATTCATATCAGTATGTC